AAATGGTGAGCATGATTTAGCTATCTCTAGGGACCAAATATAAAAATATCCTATGAATATCAGAAAAAAAAATCGTCACCCATAGGAATTTTTCTGGTCTTAGAAGTTGGGTAAAGGGTCTCCCACCTTGCTGCACCTCCAGCCCCATGAGGATGAAGTAAACTGCTGTCCTCGTTCAAGAAGGGAAATATCACGATATGTTTACTGAGTGCTTATCATTCTTCAGGTGAGAGGGTCACTAGAGTGGGGCTCAATGATGAGGAGGCAGCAGTAGTTAGGACATTTGCAAACTCTTGGGGCCATACAAAGAAGCAGAAGATATGCTCACAGTTCCAGGAGCTAAGAGTGAGGATCTGAAGTCATCGCTATGCATCTTGCTGAGGATCTCTGGAGGCCTGGAGGATTCTGTCAAAACCTACAACCTGTTTCTATACTAAAATGTGGCCTTGTGGTCCTGGCACTGCCTGGAGGTACACAGAGAAAAACCTCAAGTAGAAATGTGAAGACCTGGGTTTGGGGATTGTCTCTGTTCCTTACTAGCAAGTCAACTTAATAGTAATACCTGGCACTCTGTGGATGCTTAATGAATGCGGATTGAATGGACAAATAAATAAGTAAACCTCCTGCCGGATCCTCAGTTTCCCCATCTTGGGAAACAGTACCTCTCCAACAGGTTATGATATGGTAGATAGAATTTTTTCTGAGACGGCACCTGTGTGGATCACACTGGGCTGCTCACATGCATATTCTGATTCAGCAGGTCTGGGGAGGGTGGTCCTGTGTCCTGCATTTCCAACTGACCCCAAGATTGCTCACACAGACTGTCTGGACACACTGAATAGCAAGTGCTCAAGTGTCAATGGGATGGGAGAGCTGTTCCAAGGAGAGAGTGTCCCTGAGGAGCCATCTGGGGTGCAGGACTCTCAGCGTTAGAAACAGGAAAGTTCTGGACCAACTAAAATAAGTTGGTCAACTTATCAGGATAATGGAAGAGAATGAGATGCTTTGGTCTAATTTCTTTTTTTTTTTTCTTTTGGTATTGGGATTGAACTCAGAAGTGCTCGACCCCTGAGCCCCATCTCCAGCCCTATTTTGTATTTTATTTAGAGACAGGTCTCACTTAGTTGCTTAGCGCCTTGCTTGTTTTGCTGAGGCTGGCTTTGAACTCGTGATCCTCCTGCCTCAGCCTCCTAAGCTGCTGGGATTATAGGTGTGTGGCCCCATGCCCCGTGCTTTAGTCTAATTTGCTCGGTAAACTGAAAACAAATAGGTGAGTGGTTTACTAAGGTCCTACCTGGGACCAATGAGTCTAGCTTGTCTTATTTCACAGAGGTGGAACAAGCCCAGAGAGGTTGAGTGTCTTGGCCCATGTCATACAGCTATTCAGGAGCAGGGCTGGGACCCAAGCTCCCACCTTCTGACTCCGTGTGTAGCTCAGCACCTCTCCACCAGTCCCCATTGGCTTTTCCAACACATTCCTCTTTATTTGGCAAACACAGTATATTTATTTATAAATTGGCTTGTTTGGAACTTGAAATTTGGCATCGTTGATTTTGGCTGTGAGGAGTTCGAATTTTTCCTCTCTTTGTTTTGGTGTGCTAAACTATGTTTTATGAGCAAAAACACAAAGTAATAAAACACAAGGAGGCTGCTAAAGTTGTTCAAATGCAAAGCATCCAGAAATGTGACAGTATCCACTTACTCAGATTTATTTTGTATCTTTAGATAGTAGATTAAAAATGAATGAGGTTGACTTCTAGGGATTTACAAACCCAATATAAGTAAATAGCAAGGGTTGTTTCCCTAGATGTTTCTTGGAGCTGGGGCAGGAGTTTGGGAAAAGTGCCCCTGATGGACCAGGGTCTGGTCCTTGGGAAGATGTCAGTCATCAGGACCAAGGTATATGCATCCCAAAACCTTAGCATTTTATTTTGCACACAACGGAGGTTGTAAAAGATTATTGCCTTTAAAAAAATTAACACTGAGAATTCACACGAAATATGTGAATACTTTCTTTTTAGGGCAGCGAGGGTACCTTTAGTCCCCAGGTCCTCCTTGATGTGCTAAAAATTCAGGTAGTTTGAGAGAAAAAACTGATGTGACCTTGATTCTTTTGGTGTAGGCTCTCGTGGCCAGGGAGTCCGTTCCGGGACCTGGGAAACAGTCTTAGCCCTGCAGATGAATGGTCAGCTCAGGGGTGAATGCTGCATTTGAACAGTGTGATTGGCTGGCAGCTTGTGCCATTGTCTTAATTAACAAACTCAGCAAAGGCTGAGTATAGCTACAGCTTGTCCAATGTTTTTTAAAAATAAAATGTGTGTGTGTGTGTGTGTGTGTGTGTGTGTGTGTGTGTGTATGTATAACACATGATGCAGGGGAACCCTAGTTAAACATAAAATTTAAAAAAATTGTATTCAAAGGTCCATCAAGAACCTTCATAGTGACCAGAGGACATTTTTTTTTTTTTTTTAAACCTCAGGCTCAGGCTGAGACCTGAACAAGTGGCCTCCAGTGTTCTAGGGCCTGCTGGGCCAGCTGGGTGATACCTGATTATGGCCTGAGGGTGCTGGGGTTGACGTCTAGGCTCACGTGACTTGTATTTTAGGATCAGAAACCCCACAGCCCTTACTGGACAAATCCACAGATCTAGGAGTGGCTGAATGAAGGCTGTGCTCACAGCCTGATTCTAGGTGTCTTCTTGAACTTGGTGGCCTCTGCATTCCTCTTCATATTCCCATTTTTCATTTAGCTCTCTTAAGGGTTCTGATACAAAACAGAGCCTTCCTAAAACCTTCTGATCTCTGAGCAACATGGAAAACTTCACGGTCCTATTTCACAGAGTCGGAGCTTCCTGTTAGTGATGGACTTTTGTGGACTCTGACCCCTCAGGATCCCCAAAGATGCCATGTAGAGGAGGCACCTGCCAGTCACCTGCTTTCCCTGGAGAGTATATATGCCTGTGGGGTGGAAAGGCCTGGAAATCTGGTTGGTGGTGCACAGTATCTGAGGTACTTACTCCCTCGTCTTGTTAGATGGGCAGCCAGAATCCGAGCAGTGACCCTGAGACCCTTGTCTCCCTCTGGTGACTCACTCTTGAAGCAAAACACTCACCATTGCTACCCAATTAACCTGCTCTAAGCTTGGGGTCCAATGCCTGGGTCTGTATAAGAAATACTTATCTTGTCTGAGACCCCGAGGATAGCCAGGGCCCAGCATCAACTATGAGGTGCTTGGCTCTGTTTCTTGGGAGTCTTGATCTAAGTGTTTTGGCTTGAGAAATCCATTAATGTCCAGGGGCTATTATTGTCCAGAGGCCTCACTTAGTGACACATCTTTAGTTCTTTTTTTTTTAATATATATATTTTTTAGTTGTAGACAGACACAATATCTTTATTTTATTTATTTTTTCTATGTGGTGCTGAGGATCGAACCCAGTGCCTCACACATGCTAGGCAAACGCTCTGCCAAGTGAGCCCCAGCCCCAACCCCAGCCCCAGCCCTCATCTTTGGTTTTAACAGCTCCACTGCCCTCGCCACTGACACTCCAGGGGTCATCCAGGTTTCTGTGGCCAGGGCCAAGGCATCCCTTCTCCACCGGCAGTGGCTAGGGGCAGAGGTCTCCGGGTCACCGGGCCCCTTTTCCACTGTCAACATTCTTTCCCTTCAGGAATCCAGAATGGGTGACTGAACACTGGGAAAAACTGTGCTGGAGTTTGGGAGTGGGGCAAATGGTGCTGCCCACTGCCGTAGGCCACAGCAGGAGCTTCCTGCTGGACATTTTAGGCATGGCCACCACAGATGCTTTGCTACTGAGTCTGAGCCAAGACGGCCAGAGGTCTGGGTGCAGGCCACTGTTGGGAGAGCATTACCCATCTTTCTGTCTTCTGAAGTTTGCAAAGAACTCTTTTCTGCTGCATTGTCGTTTTTCTTTCTCAAATGCGGATTCCCCTTCCCCTACCCCCTCTCCCAGCCCTTTCTTCTCCTATTAGTGAAGCAGGACAGAGGACCAGTGGGCTTCCACTCTGGTTGTCTTTAAAGTCCTGACTGCAGATAAACCGTGAAGCAGCTAGAAAACCATCCGTCAAGGCTTCCCATGCGTCTGGCTATTTGCACTGCCTACCCCCACCCCTCCAGAACACACACACACACACACACACACACACACACACACTGAATTGCCAGATGCTCTAACTCTTCCTTTGCAGCCTCCCAGTGACCGGCACAAAGGGGGTGACTAACTGGATACTGTGACTTAACATTTATTTGTCTCTTTTATTTTTTTTTCCACTTAGAATGAGGGTGAGCTCTAGATTTTAATTTCCAGTGCCCTTCAGAAGCAGCCCTGGCTCCTCTCCGGGACAGAAGTCCCTGAAACCAGGCTGAGTTTGGGAGTCTGCACTCCCTGCCCCCAAAACTTCTTGCAGAGCAAGGGAGATGGTGGGACATTTCCAGGTCAAGGTCTTAGGTAGAAAATTCTCCCTCTGGTGCCGGCTTCCTCTATCTCACCTGCCCTGCAGCTTTGCTGCTCAACAGGATGCCAACAGAAGATCCCCCCGGCTGGGTGGGTGTCAAGGAATCCTCAAGTTCCCCTGTTTGTCCCTAATGGCTATAGAAATCCAGTTCAGAGAAAGAAAAATATGAACTAAGCAAGCTCTGCCTTTAGAGGTACTTACTGGCACCGACCGCAGTACAGGCCAGTGGATAAAATGGGCACCAGACATACTGATGGGAAAAGGAGCCCCACATGGGGCGTGGGCTACCCAGGGCTCAGCCCGCCAGGTGGAACCTGGGCGCAAAGCTTGGCTGTAGGTTGCGCTTGCTCAGATGCACAAGTCCTGGGAAGGGAGCCAAGTCTGAAATGCAGATTTCCCCACAGCTGCGTCTTTTTCCTCTCTCTCTCTTTTTTTTTTTTTTTTTATAAATAATTATTTTTAGTTGTAGTTGGACACAGTACCTTTATTTTATCTATTTATTTTTATGTGGTGCTGAGGATCAAACCCAGAGCCTCGCACGCACTAGATGAGCACTCTGCCGCTGAGCCCCAGCCCCAGCCCCTTCTTCCTTTCCTCTTACTTGGCTTCTCTCCCATGACGACATGTCCTAAGGGCTTAGATCTTCACAGATGGAGAGAACCCCTTCTTTGGCTTCCAGAGCCACAGAAGCTGGGGCTAAGTGCGCTGCCTCCAGAGCCAGGAGGACCAGCTCTTGAGTCTAGGCCCTGGAACGCAGCAGTCCTGCCCCAGGCTTTTTAGTGAGCCTGTGATCTACACAGGAGCCTCAAGAGGCCGGAAGGTCATGAGGCCACCTCCAGTGGGGAGGTAGGTCTGGGACAGCTAGAGAGTAGATCATTGAGAGAACCAAGGGGAGACCCCTCTTATTAAACAGGATGAGATTAGGTGATTGTTCCTTTAAACCCCCCCATGGTTGCTGTGCTGCCCCCTCTTTAGCTGGGCTGTGGGCTAAACTGCGGCCCCAGCACCACAAGCCACCCATCTCCTCTTCTGGGCCCAGGTGCTTGGAGAAGGCCTGCAAAAGTTACTTCTTCTCTTTGCACAGTGCATCTTTTATGGCCATCCTGGGTTTTCTTGCCTGGCCTCAGCACTGCTCGGCCTCCACAAAGCCCTCCTTCTCATGGCCCGAGGGCTCCACCTCAGTGTAGGTAGAGTGGTTGGGGTGGTTGCGGAACTTCATCGCTGGCCAGTGGTGAGGTCTCCGCTGCAGGGGATTCGGGGGCAGAAACAGAGTCAGCAGACATGATCTCTCCATGGGGACCCCACCACCAAGGGACAGTGCCATAATTCTTTCTTATAAGAACTCTGGGGTGCTGGGACCCACTGGGCTCCAGGTGATAGTCAGGGCCACTCTCTCCAAAAGGCTCCCCACTGTCACCCCTTGACCACTGGAGCCAGTGTTTGGAAGGAGAACATTTGATCCCTCTCTGTGTGGTCTACACAACTGTTGCTGAAGCTTTGAGCTATGGGTCAGAGATGACTGGAATGATCTGGGAGGCTCTGGAAATGCCAAGATAACCCTCCAGACAGCACAGGTTCTGCATCAGAGGGAACCGGGGGCTTTCTGAAATGCAGGTTCCTGGGCCCAGCTTAGACCTACTCCATCAGAGTCCCTGTGGCCTGGGGATCTTCAGTTCCCAGGTGATACCCAGGTAGGCTAAGACTTCAGAAAGACTGATGAGGACCCATAAATAAGGTCAGTGAGTTTGTGACCTGTGCAGAGGAGACTGAGGTGCCAGAGGGCCATGGCTGTGCCCCTCTGAAAACCTTTGAAATGATCCTTTTTAATAAGGAGCATAAGGAAAGTTCTCTCTGATAACTTTTAAGGAATTCCCAAAGGGTACCACTGGCTTGCAGCCTTCCGGAGGGCGAGGACAGTATCTTAGTTATCTTTGTGTCCTCAGCTCCTAGCAAAAACCATGGACACACTGTAAACACTCAGCTAATTCTATGAAATGAGCCATATCTTCTGGGAGCTAATAACCCAGCTTAGAGTGGAAGGCTGGACAGCAGCTGCTGGACTCTGTGGCTCAGAGTGCTGGGGATTGAGTCTTCCTTCCCGTGTGGCACCTCGGCTGGCCCCTCAGCATTCTGGGACATTTGGAACCGCAGTATCCTCAACTAAAACTCCCAGAGAGCACAGCCCTCATTACCATTTCCACTTTTCATTTGTCATCTAAAAAAATCCAAAGCAGCAGCAAAAGAGGTTGGTTCTATTATGGCTCCAAATAAGTCCCAAGTCTGCAATTTGGGCAAGAGACACCATAAATCATTAGGGAACGGCTGCCCAGCCGCTAAATGGGCTCTATATAGTATTTTTGGCCTTCAATCTTTCCTCTGGGGACTTTTCTAGTTTCACAAATGGGGAAACAAAAGCAGACAGGCTGTTCTAGGGACAGACAGCCAAGAGGCTGAACCCTGGGGGTGATGGGCACAAAGGGCACCAACCAACCACTGAGAGATGTGCCAGGAGGGGGCTGGTGTAGGTTTCTCAGGCAGGTGATGTGTGAGAGGTGCAAGGGGAAAAGGTGGGTACCCAATGGCCTTGGAATCCCTGATACAGAGTGGACGGCAGAACCGAGACCACATTCTACACTGACCTCAATGAAGAACAGCGCAGCATTAGAGTTGGGGTGGCCATTAATGTAAATACCAGCCAGGATGATGGCTGCCACCAGAAGGACGGCCAGCACGATACCCACGATGGTGCCCAGGTGCACAGGGGGGCCCTTTGTCTTTGGGGACAGGTTGTCCTGGAGACCTGTGGAGAGACCATTAGGGTAGGGAGGGGCTGCAGGGGAGCAGGAAAAGTTGGGCCATGGAGTCTTGGGTTCTAAAAAAGTCCCAGAGATGAGAGTCCACAGGACCTTTGGGTCCACTTATCAAAAACATGAGAAAGGTGGGACAGAAACTGGCGGAATTGGGAGGAGTACAGCATTCACGTTGTTCTTAGCACCTCTCAGGAGGTTTTCCAAAACCACTTAAAAGCTGTTCAAATGCCAAAGGATCGTAAGGGAAGTTCTCTTGAACATCTGTGTCACACAACCACCTTTAAAGAATTCACAAAGGGTATGTGATGGTTAAGAGTTTGGGATCTAAGATTTGGCTGCTTGAGTTCAAATCTATCCTCTGCCACGCACTAGCTACGTGATCTTGGGCAAATTATTAACCTCTGTGCCTCCATTATCACTTCTGTAGAACAACAACAGTAATAATAACAACAATAACACTTAATAGGATTATTGTGAGGGTCAAAATGAGATGTCATATCAATCACTGAGGACATGATGAGCATCTTAGAAGACCCAATAAGTATCAACTATTATGATAGCAAAGGACGATATTTCTACTTGTCACTGTCAACCAAATTGAGACACCCTGGAGGGCAGGGTCAGGATCTTATTCATCTTTGTGTCCTCAGCTCTTAGGCGAAATGATGGGCACGCAGTTGAGCTCTATGGAACGGACTAGGTCCCCTGAGATCTAACAGTCAGCAGGCACTCTCCGAGGACATCTCAGTGTTTGGAATGCATCCCAAGGAGGAGCGGAAGTTTCCACGGACCAGAGAGCTGGGAGCCCCTCCAGTCCCACTCTTTCCTGTGTGACTGAGGGAATGGAAATGAAGGTTAGCGATTTGCCCAAGGACACACCAGTCCAGGGCCAGCCCTAGGCAGCCTGGTTCCCTGACATTACCTGGGGACTGTAGGGATGACAAGGTGGAGAAGACAGGTGAGTATGTTAGCCACAGAAATCTTGAGCCCTTTTTACACACCAGTGGGCGAAATGGGAGGCAACAGAGGGTGAGGGCTTTTAATAGGACGTGTTCAAAATCATTGTCCTCCTAGCCCCTGCTCTCTGTCACTCGGTAAGCTGAGGAAACTCGGGAGAGAAGCTATCCAGGCACCGCAGAGCTTGGCTAGTGCCCCCATGCCAAGAGGTGGGAAGAGTTGAGGTAACACATGTCACAAGCCAGTCTCCCGGACCTGCTGGCCACCAGCCCACAACCTGCTGCCACCCTGGTGACTTCACAGGCAGGACTTGGTTGACTGGATGTGCAGCCCTCCACCCACAACATTCCCTCTGTGCCTCCCTTTGTCCCTCCTGCTGCCTGAAGAGGAGCAATGGCGCCCTCTCTGGTGGAAGATGCATCCAACTGCACTGCCTTAATAACCTCTCCTGAGGGAATCAGAGAACAACCTCTGGCCTGCAGTAGGAAGGGGCGCCTCGCCCTCACAGCAGCTGCAGCAGAGCCTAGCTGGCCCCAGGCGATGGGCAGGGGAGGAGGGCCCCCATCACCCCACAGCTTATCCTCCCAGGCATCCCCGAGGCTGGATGAACCTGCCTTCTGGTGCTCTGCAAAGCTTATGATGGGACAACTTCTGTGTGCTGTGGGCCAACCCACTAGGGAACTTGTCAGAGAAATTGCTTCCGCTCGCTGACTAGGAGGCCCATGGGGAGGGGGGGCCATGGCCACCGGCCCCACCAGCCATGTCTGCCCAGGCTCAGACTTTCCCCTCCCACCTCTTCAGGGCAGCTAATATTCAAGAGTGGGAGGCCAGGAGGAACCTCTGGAGGATCTGACTAAGATAGAAATGTTTGGGTAGACATGTTCCTTCAATCTAGGGGCCTGTGCCCAGAGTGCCCCCTGCCTTCCCACCTAGCAGGAGGTCTGGGCCGTTCACATTGGCTGCTTTGCTCCTCCTCTTGGCCACAAAAAGAGGCCCAGTGCACCCTCTTGGGTAGGGCAGACCCAGGGGTACAGGGAAGAGGGCAGGTGGTTCTATACTCACCATCTCCTGCGTAAGGGTTCAACTTGGTGTCATCTTCAAAGAGAGAAGACAAAGGAGCAAGATTAGTGGAATCACTATGCTTTTGTCTCCCTGGGTCTGGATGGGATTTTAGGAGCTTTGGTTCAGCTGAAGTGCAGAGAGGGGAGGTGACTTGCTTAGAGTCTCACAGCAATGCAAGGGTAGAAGGCCAGAGCAAGTCGGGCTGACATTCCTGTCAATTATTGACTCATTCAACAAATATTTATTGAGCATTTACTGTGGGCTGAGCCTTGGGAATAGGTGCTGGTGACACTGCAAGTAACAGACATGGTCCCTGCCTTCGAGGAATAACAGGTGGGAGAATGGAGGACTCACAATGATAGGCATGTAGCAATGACAGAGCACATGCCTAGCATGCCTGAGACTCTGGGTCAAAATAGATAAAACCCACATGATGCTGAGCACAATGGCGCACACCTGTAATCCTAGCAGCTTGGGAGGCTGAGGTAGGAGGATCATGAGTTCAAAGCCAGCCTCAGCAATGGCGAGGCACTAAACAACTCAGTGAGACCCTGTCTCTAAATAAAATACAAAATAGGGCTGGGGATGTGGCTCAGTGGTTGAGTGCTCCTGAGTTCAATCCCCAGTAACCAAAAAAACAAAACAACAACAACAACAACAACAAAAAAAAACACAAAAAACAAAAAACAAAACTTGGTCAGTTGAGAGTAGTAAACTAACCGGGGACAGTGGCCCATGCTTATAATCCCAGCTCCTTGGGAGACTGAGGAAGGAGGATCAGAAGTTCAGAACCAGACTCTGCAACTTAGCAAGACTCTGTCTCAAAATAAAATAAAAAGAAATGGGGGTGTACCTCAGTGGTAGGGTGCTTGCCTAGCATGTGTGGGGCCCCAGTTAAAAAAAAAAAAAGAAGAGGAAAAAGCAATTCCCCAAAATTGAAAGGAAAATAAAATTGTAGATTTCTACAGGTGAATTTTCTTCCAGAATTTCAATAAATAAGAACTTTTTGAGCAGAACTTCAAACCTATTTTTTAAAAATAGTAACTTACTTTTTAAAACAACTTTATTTTATGTATCTATATTTTTATGCGGTGCTGAGGATCAAACCCAGTGCCTCACACATGCTAGGCAAGCGCTCTGCTACTGAGCCACAACCCCAGCCCTTCACATTTATTTTGTTATTGCAAGTTGACAACAATGAATTGGCTAATAAAAACTGACCAAAATAACCTAAATATCACTGGGCATAACTTGATTCAAAAGAACATGAGAATATAGACCATTGAAAATCCATTGTAGCCTGGTCCACACTTACCTCTGGTAGACAAAAGGACATGGTGCCTGTCACAGTCCCTCCCATAGAGCCACTGAAGGTGGATTCACTGGGCCCACCACAGCCTCTTTCCTACTCACCAAGGACTGGTTCCCAGCTGCCATCTTGCCAGAACTCCATGGAATGCAAATTGGTTCCCTAATTAATGGGTTGAGGTATCATCCCATGAAACTCACAGAGGAAGAAGTGCATGTAGTGTTTATCGAATGAGAGGTCATTTTTCTGTAGTTACCTGTCCCTTCTTGCTGCTACCAATGTGATCTGTCAGCTGCTTATAAGATGAGCCCTTGTACTACACACAGCTCTTCTGGGCTTTGTGCCAGTAATTTGCCACTCAGAGGTGGTGTGGCCCCCTGGAGTGGGCAGCATTCAGTTCCAAGTGAAGAACTTGGAGTCCAGCCCCCAGGCCTCCTCTCCCCTGGTCCTCTCTGCTCTCCGACTCTGCACGTCCCCCAGGAAAGCTGCATCCCCTTGGTTTATAACATTTCTCCATTACAGACTGTTCCACAAGATGAACTGCACCAAACAGACTCCATCCCACGCCTGTCTCCTAAGTGCCCCACAGTGATAGGGCTGGGGTCAGTGGTTGAGTGCTCCTGAGTTCAATCTCCAGTAACAAAAAAAATAAGGACTTGATTGGTTGGGAGTAGCAAACCAGCTGGGTACAGTGGCCCATGTGCGGCGGGCGGGCGGGCACCTGGCCTCAGTTCTGTCAAGATGCCTTGAGAGCTAGGCATGTGGGGGGCAGTCATCATTAAAAGATCTCTATTATGTGGTGCTGGGGATCAAACACAGGGCCTTGAGGGTACAGGGCAACTGCTGTACCCCTGAGCCACCTCTCCAGCCCCAAAGTTCTTGACAATATTAGCCACCTCCTCCAGGCCTGGAAGGACGTGGAGCCATAATCGTCCTCACTTACTGTAATGCTTTTTGTTGGGAACTGTTACACAGCAGGAGTGAGGCCAGTTCCTGGTCTGGCAGGATCCAGACAACAAAATGGGCAAACAGAATCTGCTGCCTCTGTGAGGGTCAGCCACCACAGTAGCGACAGAGCACCAGTCCCTTCAATCCCAAGTTATTACAAGTCAGGATTTAGAACAGGCCCCCAGATGCTGTGTCCTGGGCTCTCTGTGCCCACCATCACCACCCCTTCAGTCTCTGATACTGTGGCTCGACCAGATGGTAAAGTCCTGAGTGAGGTGAGGGAGCTGTCTGCACCCCCAGCCCAGTGCCAGCCAGAGCGTGCCCTCGAAGCACAGGGTAGACTGAGGAAGACTGGCCAAGGGTTGCTTCCTTCTGGTGGAGCTTCCCTTCACTGGAGGGTCACCCCTGCACTTGGCTGCTAACTCCCCAAGGGCCAGGTCTCTTTGTGCTTCCTCTTCACTTAATCCCCGGAAGCAGCAGCACCTCAGCTCTTAGTACCTGAGTCTCAACCAGCTCCTTGCTATTTCCCAGCAGCCTCAGGGTGACCAAGCCACCCAAGTCTGCTTCACGTGTCCACCTTTGGCTCTATTCCCTGTTCCCTGAATTGTCACCAACCATTTCTATCTCTTTCAGCACTGAAAAAGGCAGTGGGGTCAAGGGGAAGGAGCTTTTGGAGCCAGATGAGACCTGACTCCATCTCTTCCTGCTGGGTGGCCCTGGGCAAGTCATCTATCTCTCTGAGTCTTAATATCTTCTCTATAAAATGGAGACATAACAATATCAACATCCAGAATGTTTAGGAGGACTAAATATTAATTTGTACATGACTGTAGCAACCTACCTGTCACATGGCTAGTCCCCCAAGATATTAGCTCTTTCTCTCATATCTCATTCTCCTCTGTGACTTCACTCTGGCCAGGAGACCCTGATTTAGTTCTTCAGTTCACCGGGCAATATTTAGAAAGGTGGGGGCACCTCATGTAGGCCTGAGTCACCTACTTTGCCCCTTATAAGCCTATTTCCTTATCGGTAAATTAGGATGGTGGCTAAATATTTTAAAATACTAACTTTTTACTTCTTTCCTCCTATCTGTTATTCGTTCTAAGCAGGTGTTTGGCTCAGAGGAGGCTAAGAGCTCATAATCCTTCAGGCTTTCTTTAAGGGAAAGGGGCTTTCAAATCTAGAAGAGATATATTGGAAAAAGGATAAGAGAGGAATTTCTCAGAGATAAGCAAAGAATCCTGGAGGAATTTGGGAGAATCTAAAAGATCTCGGGCTCCTGGATTGGAGGAGGCTGCACAGAGCCCCCAGGGGACGGGGAGCCGGAAACTACCCAGGACCTCTGGCAGTTTCAACCAAGAGGCCTTGAGATGGCAAAGAAGCCCGGGAACTGCCTGGTCTGAATAGGCAGTATGAATGGTCACCAACCCAAGATGGAGGACATCAGGGGCCCACCTGGACCCTCTGCTGGAGCAGGGGCCAAGGCCAGAAGAGCTCCTGCCAAGTGGGGTCTGAGAGTCAGAAGCAAAGTTAAGTTACAGAAAAATCAAACAACCTCTCTCTCACCTCTTAGTGTGGGGCTTAAGTTCAAACCTGCTGTAAGAATGAGACCTCCCAGAACCTGTGAGGATTACTATCAAGATTGACCCAGGTGACTTATAGAAATGCCTGGCCCTGGGCTGGGACATTAATTCTCCCCTCTCCACAGTGAATTCCACCCCCCGCTCTGATGCAGGTCAGCACAGTGGTTATAGCCCAAGTGGTTATAGCCCATTCTACACCTGCCTCTGCTGCTCACCGGCAAGTGAACTAAGCGCTCTGGGCTTCAGTCCTTTATAAGAGGGCAGGGCAATGTCTGTCCCATGAGATGGTCCCTGTGAGGGCCAGTGAGTGCTTCAGGCAATGGTTCTTCCCAGGTCCCCCGCCAGCCGACCCCAGCTCTAGCCTTACCTTCAGTGGTAAGGCTGTCAATGAAGAGGGAGGAGGAAGTGGTGGTGAGGTCGCCGTCCAAGGGGCCAAAGGAGCTGTCAGGGGAGGCCGAGTAGTGGTCCTCATCCTGGAAGTCCTCGCACGTACTGCCCTCTGCCTAGAAGAGAGACCCCCCCGCACTGCTGCCTGGCTAGAGTTGGGCCCTGGATGCATTTAAACCTTCCACTTAGTCTGACCACTTGGGAAAGCTGAGATGAAGGCTTGCTTGAGCCCAGGAGTTCAAGGTCAGCCTGGCCAACCTAGGGAGACTCCAGTTCAAAAAAAGAAAACAAAACGAACAACAACAACAACAAAAAAAACCCTTTACTTTATCCTACAAGTGTCTTATCTTACAGGGCAATTTATCAGTCAGCTGCTTCAAATTCTTACTCAAGGAAGGAGCTGAGAGGCCAATCTTGAATAAATAGAGCAAATCTGGACATTCAGCACAGCCAACGTCAGAAAGGGGAGGTTGGACAGATTTTTTTTTTTAAGGCCAGAAAAAGACAGCTTTCCCCCGCCTGGACTAATAAAAGAGGTCGCGGCGAGGGCGTGGCAGTGGGCCTATAGGGTTCATGTTTAAATGCTGAGTCCAGAGCCTCGTAGCTGTGAGAGGCAGGCCTGCTCCTCACACTCTCCCCTCTGACCAAGGGGGGCACTGGCCTCCAGCTTCAAGGTCGAGTTAAATAAGAGCACGTGTAGGGCAGCGCCGTGAGGCGCTCCCACTGCAAGACGAGGAAGAGGACGGGAGCAAAGAAAGATGCAGTGAGCTCTGCGTCAGCCCAGGGTATGAGAGCAGGATGCTCCCCACCCAGAATCATTGCTGGAAAATTCTAGTAATGAGAAGGAAAGGGTCAGGATTCTAAGTGGGAGGTGCCTGGAACGACCCTCCACACCCCCAGGATGACTGCCTCCCTCAAAAGCCAGAGGCCTAGAGCCTCGGCAGGTGCACAGCCTCTGCAGGAGCCAGCTGGGACTGAGGCCCTGCCTCTACAGGCACCAGAGGAGTTCCCGAGGAGCTGCCTGCTGAAAGCCAAGTCCCCAGAAGCAGTTGTCTTGGGGACCCACAGAGTCCTCTAAAACCTTCCAGAGTGGTCTAATTGGTTCAGAGCAATCTGGAAAACAAATCTTAGCTGGAGGAGAGAATAAAGACACCTCAGGCTGAAGACACCTTGAAAAGAGCTCCCTGGGGAGGGGCCTGCTGGCAGACCTCCTTCCCCTCACCTGCACAGGGCCACGTCACAGCAGAGCACACATGCTTCTCACCTCCTGGGCACAGCCATAGGCCAGCCATTCCTGGCGATAGCGGTCGAAACCACTGGAGCACCTGCAAGGGAGTTAAAAAGTTAGAGAAGTGAGGGGACCAGAAGAGAAGCCCTCCACTTTCATGTCCCCTATTCAGTACGTCTCTGAAGACAGTTAGGAGGGGCTCAACTCCTGGTCAAGCTCCCCAGGTGCAGGAGGGAGGGGAGGATGTTTGTGTATCCCCACCTTTTTTAGGACCAGCTCTCGGGATCAAGGCCACAGCTGCCCAGATGTGTGTGTGTATGTGTGGTGTGTGTGTGTGTGTGTGTGTGTGTGTGGTGTGCAGGGACGCATGACCTCTGATGACTTTTAAGTCTGTTTGACTCTGCTACCGTGGCATTCCTGGAACTGGAGGAACTCATACTCATTCGCCAGGCTCCCCATTATTCAGGGGCCTCAACTTTGAAGCAGAGGCTGGTGGAGGGTGGGTATTGGAAGAGGCTGGCCTACGCTCCCTGTGTGATCATTAAAGGCAGAAATAAGGGTTCTGCTGGAGGCTGGGAGAGGTGAAAAACAGGCTGACCCGGGTCTCTGGAGAGGACACTGTGCAGCTCAGCTGGGTCAGAAGAGACCAAGTGCCTCCCTTGGGAAAGGGTGGGATACAAGGGTGAACCAGAGAAGGTTCTCCACGGCATCAAGGGCTCAAATTGCCCTTCTTCACTCTTTGGTGCCAGGGGAAGCAGCAAGCTTTACTTGAGTTCAGGGACATCTGCATGGGAAGAATAACATCCTGAGCCACCAGGGCAGAGAAAGATTCCCAGCAAGTTAACTCCACACCAGCAGCCCCTGCCCATCAGTCCAAGACCCAGCGAGGCCAAAGTTGAGGTTTTCTGAGGACCTCTAGTCTTTCCTTTCGGAGGTATCCAAGCTGCTCCTCCTGAGCAGGGGTGCCTGCACTGCACCAGCCACAGGCTCCTTCTCTCAGGCCTCTAGGACCACTACTTTGGGGGATAGAGAATTAGGGGAGTTATTGGAAGCTGGGGACCAAAGTTTCTTTTTGACTAGGCTGATTCTTTCCAGGATTAAGCCTTCAGTACAGGTCTAAGAGCATCACATTCTAAACCCTGAGCCAGTCAACCCAGACTCAGAGAGGGGAATGAGAGATGGCCACTTACTGAATGTCTCTTGAATGCCAGGTGCTGCCCCAGACACGGCTCCTCCAGCACCATTTCTTAGGATTCTCACAATGACATTGGAAGGCAGCGGTTATGACCATCAGTTCCTGAGCTAATACAGGAACTGAGGTCACCCTTAGACTCCACAGTGGGCCTTGGGGACCACTTTAGGATGACAGAAAGACACTTTTTCCATGGTAAGTGAAACTGTCTAAATCAGATCCAGCCCCAAGCAGGGAGGGTAAGCCCTGGGAGGCTACAGAGAGCAGAGGAGATGAAGGGGAGGGGAGAGGAGAACCAGGGTCCTCTATCAGCCCTGCCCTCTGGCTCTAGGGCACTAGGGTCAGCTCTCATTTGGAGCCAAGGCTCTAAAAATCTGGCAAGGAGTGAGCCCAGGCCCGTGGGTGTCTGGGGATAGGTGGTTTGTGGCCCTTGTCACCTCACACCCTCTGAGAGAGCTTCTCCGCTCCGGGGCTGACAGAACCCCAGTAGGGCAGAGTCCACACGCAGAGCCCCACCCTCCCCCCACCCCTGACTGGCCAGTCCTGCTGAGGCAGGCCACCCTCTGATCATGTCATGCTCCCTGAGTCTGGGTGTAGTCACTAAATGAGGCTGTGGTGATGTGAGGGTTTTGCTTTCGTCTGGCCCACTTTGCAGTTCCCATGGCTCCGTTTGTGCTGGATGCTGAGTCACGCGGTGGCAGCCAGCCCCAGGATCCCAGGGCTCATCTCAGGCCATCCAGAGCGTCTCCCCACCACAGAGACAGTGGTTCTCCACTTTGAAAGTGCAGAAGATGAAACACTCCAAAAAATCAGACTCCTGGGACCCTGGTCCCAAGGGGTCAGATTCTGTGGGTTGTTGGGGGAGAGGCAGGGAATCCGGCCAGCCCTCCAGAGGATTCTGAAAGACTTGGTGGCAGAGGACTCTGCAAAGTCTCCTGTTCCAGAAGAACCAACCCATCGACCCAGGTTCAGCTCCACGAATTCTGAGGCTCTCTGCCTTCCTTCAAAGACCCCTGGATGCTTTGTAAAAATGCTGTTTGGCATTTGGGGAGTGTTCTCTTCCCCACCCCCACATCCCCCTGATTCACATGACGCAGCTCCATTTTACAGGGTAAACACACTGAGGTCCCAGGTGAGTGCGCCAAGGCACAGCTGGTGGGGAGAGCACCTGGGAGGCCTGATGAGCGCACCCCCTCCCCTGAGAGTGGAGCCGGCCCTGTGCATAGCAGGCTGCCTGTGGAGGCCAGGGCTTCTATTTCTGCTCAGGGATGTTGGAAAGGAGCAAAGGAAACGCTGACAGCTGCACGACAGCTGCACGGGAACTCAGAGACTGTAATTTTGCAATTTTCAAGATCGCCTTAAAGGCTCCCAGAGTTCTTAGGGCTTCCCACTCTCATGAGAGCTCAGTCCCCACAGGAATCCTTCTTTCCCCTCCTGCCGTTTATTTATCTTGGACAGGAGAACAGAGCTTGAATTCTAAATCTAATGTGCAAGGAAATGATTTCAGAACTAGGAGTAGAAGATAAACTGGGTTTAAGGACTTTAGCCCTGAAACTGAATCTCACCCAGAATTTTCTGTGCTTCCAAAACCAAGCATACGGTGTTGTAGCCTCCCCCAACTTTCTGTGCATGCCTGCAGTGTCCACATCCCTGGTTTTCAAGAAACCCTGTTGCAACCCAAGAAAGATCTTGAGGTGGTGTTTTGGGGTCACAGGGCTCTCATCCAGTGGCAGTGGGTCATTGCCTCACTCTGAGCTGAGAGTTCCGACACTTGTCTGCAGATGAGGCACTATGTTAAAATGCCGGGTCCCTGGTCCCCTTCCAGAGATTCCAGGATTCTGCATGCTTACAGGAGATCTTGGAGACCCTGGGATGACCACAACTGAGTCCTTCTCTTTGAGAAGTCCTGCTCTAGAACCAATACCCTCACAGCTTCCTGGGATTAAGGAGGGGGCTACAGCTGCTGGAAGCCCTGAATGGTCTTCTGGAAGCTTAGTGTCACCCCAGGCCTCACTCTGCCACACAGACACCTTGATCAGGCACAAGCCTCAAGAGAAATTCTCTTCTGAGACATTCTTGTCCTGTTGGCCAGGGAGGCTCGGAGCAGAGAGAGAACCTCATGCTGGCAGAGAGGCCCAGAGGCCCGAGGCAAGAGTGGAGCTTTGCCACCGTCTGTTCTCCTCTGGAGTCTGCTTATGGGACTCAGCGCATAATGCTGGGCACAAACCTCTGCAGGACATGGCACCAGCTGCAGTTGAAGGTCAGGTCCGAGGACATGCAGGTGTCACAGCTCCGATGCTGCAGGCAAGCTGCAAGAGAGGAGGCAGTGGCCACTGAGCATCGGGACCTTTCTACCAGCTTCACAGGGCACAACTCCTGAGTTCCAGAACAACAAAGTCTCTGTCTTAACCGGAGCTCGAGCTCATTATTGCGACCCTTACTTCAGTCCAGCCCCAACTCCCTTCCTTCCTTCTCGCCTTCCATGATCAGGGGGTTAGGTCCTGAGCTGGTGCTGGGGGTTTAACAGTAAGACCTAGTCCCTGCCTTCTTGGGGCTTACAGTCATATGAGCAGACAGACACCAAACAGATGCACAGACAAAAATAACTAGAAGTTGGGCGCAGCAGTGCATCCTTGTAATTCCAGCAACTTGAGAGGCTGAGGCCGGAGGATCACAAGTTCAAGGCCAGCCTCAGTAAGTTAGGGAGACACTGTCTCAAAATAAAAAAAATAAAATAAAAAGGGTCGGGGATGTGGCTCAGTGGCAAAATGGCCCTGGGTTCAATTAACAGTACAAAAGTTTACTGGGGCTAGAAGTCCTGGATGATGAAGTCCTAGCAGTGAGCAGAAAAAGAGCAGATGCCCGCAAATGGATAGACAAGTCTACCTCAGGGCTTCTGTGGTGAGAGGGGCTGAGGAAAAAGTAGTTCAGGACATGAAGGCAGAAGGAGAGTGGGGATGGGGGTTGCTCAGGGAGCCTAACACCAGCCATGGAGGGGAGGGCCTTTGGGCAGAGGACGAGAAGGGAGGGAGGGAGCGGGCCACTCTCCCAGGGGAGGAAAAGTCCAAGCAGCAGAGCCTGGTGTGTATGGCCCAGGAGTGGTCCCAGGACAGACAGAACCCCTAACAGGCTGCAGGGGAGAGGCGGAAGTAGCAAGAAGAGAGCGGCAGCTGGGGCTGGCCCAGGGCAGAGAATGAGCAGAGCAGGCTGCTGGAGGGCACCTGGGCCCCTCCTTGCACTGCTCAGGTAGAGGAGCCAGAGGCCTGGGGAGCAGGAGTCCTGGGGAGCCGGAGGCCTGGGGGCTGGACTCCAAGTTCTTCACTTGCAACTGAATGCTGCCCACTCCAGGGGGCCACACCACCTCTGAGTGGCAAATTACTGGCACAAAGCCCAGAAGAGCTGTGTGTAGTACAAGGGCTCATCTTATAAGCAGCTGACAGATCACATTGGTAGCAGCAAGAAGGGACAGGTAACTACAGAAAAATGACCTCTCATTCGATAAACACTACATGCACTTCTTCCTCTGTGAGTTTCATGGGATGATACCTCAACCCATTAATTAGGGAACCAATTTGCATTCCATGGAGTTCTGGCAAGATGGCAGCTGGGAACCAGTCCTTGGTGAGTAGGAAAGAGGCTGTGGTGGGCCCAGTGAATCCACCTTCAGTGGCTCTATGGGAGGGACTGGCAGTTGGTGGCACTATGTCCTTTTGTCTACCGTGGCGGAGGAAAAATCAGGAGCAGGAAATAAGCAGGGGCTGCCCCGAGATGGGGGTGGGGCCGTGTGCTCTCTGCCTACTTCCTTCCCTGCTGTACCCAGGGGGCCTAGAGTGCCCAGCGTGTGATATGTAGAATTCATGGGGACCTGCTCTTCTTATTCCCATTTTACGTAGGAAGGAACTGAGGCCTGGAGTCATGAAGCTAAAAGTGGCAGGTCTGGGTCTGAGCCAGGGTCTGTGTGAACCTAGAACCAGAACTCAGCCTTTTGGTTCCTCGGTGGGTTCCTCGTGCCCCTGCTCCCAGCCTCACGCAGGGTACCTTTCCTTGACTGTCTCCTAGCAGAGGAGCCAGGAAGGACCCACCATGGAGTGCGATGGCTTTAAGATAAGCCATCCACATCCCTGGGAGTATCTGGGATAAGTGCTCTCGGCACCCAAAGCATAATGGAGAAGATGAGGGATAAAGAGCTTTCTCCTGGCAAAGCCAACAGGGCTCCTACATGGGCGGCCACACAGGAGTCCAAGGCCTTGCCGTTCTCAGTGACTCTGGGGGCCCCTTAAAGGCTCTGGCCACACTGGCCATGATGAAACCCTCTGGGAGCCTTGTGGGGAGTTCATAACACCTGTTGATTGTATCTCTCATTTCAGATGTCCTGTGTGCTATTAAATGCTCACAAAATTCACTAGAGTTGGGGGAGTGGCTCAACTAAAAGTCTCAGAAGTACATTTCAGGCATGGTGGCACAAGCTTAAAATCCCAGAGTCTCCAGAGGCTGAGGCAGGAGGATTGTGAGTTCAAAGCCAGCCTCGGCAACTTAGTGAGGCCCTAAGCAACCTGTCAAGACCCTGTCCCGTACATACATATATATAAGGGCTTGGGATGTGGTTCCGTGGTTAAGCACGCAGCCCAGGTCACTGCTTCACTCAGGCAGTTAGCCCTGGCCCTTTATGTCATTATTCCTCATGAAGCTTATCCAAGTTTTAGGACTTGAAGTCTGTCCTTGCAAGTCCTTGAGGAATCCCTGTTTTTCAGGCCCTGGGCTTCTGCTTCCAAAGAAGGTGACTGGGTTGGTGGGTGAGTCTGTGACCTGCACCGTGTCTTAGCCCTGTGACTCCCTGGTGTCTGGTCCTTTCTATTTTCTAGGGGAAGATACCTGCTGAGTCCAGGCTGAGACATGGCCTGGCATTCATGACCAACCCTTCCTCTTCCTCCTCTTCGTTCTCTATCCCCCAACTCCCAGGAAGGAGGAGGAAGAGAAAGGGAAGCAAGAAACGTCACAAAAGGCAGGCAGGCCATGGCTTCAGAAGGAAGCTGGGAGGTACCATGAGACAGGAGAGGAACTTAAACTCCCTTAAAAATACAAGAATACAAGAATAGAAGTGCTGTCCTTTAACCTCAGTCCCTGCCTCAGTCCCCACATCCCAAAGAGCACTCAAAGCCAGTCCTGAGGCATCCACAGTGGCAGGGGGGCTTTGGTCATGGTATGTGTCTTCAACTGTATGTAAGTTTTTGGAGGGCTGCTGCCTAAATCTTTTTACTGTCCTCTGCCCATGGACTCCAGCACCATTCCCTCCAAAGAAAATTTAATGACAAACCACAAATTGTTCAGTTTCTGGGTTACTTTTCCTTGGCACTAAGAGGGTACATCTCTCTGGGGTTTCAATTTTATGTCAATAACAATACCTGTCATATATTAGGCAAACCACCCCCCAGGCCTGGGACCTACCAGTAAATGTCAGAGCTGCCATTTCTGGTTCTAGCCCTTTCCACAGCTCTGGGAGGGAGGTGTTGGGGCCTAGAGAAGTTAGGTGACTGTATCCCCCAGAGCTCAGCCGTGGCCCTGGGCCATGAACCCTGTCTGTTGACTCTGAAGCATGTTGCAAGATGGCGGAAAGCTCCCTGTCCCTGAGAACAAGCCCCACTCACTTGGCAATGGGGTGAACTCCACGGCCGACGTGCTGGTGATCTTGCTGGAGTCCAGCTCCACCCGGTGGTATTCAAAGATCGTCCTTCGCCGAGACTCTGAAAAGAAGGCAGAGCCTGTCCTCAGGAGCCTATCATAGCCAGAGGGCTCAGTGCAGCCACTGAGGGAGGAAGTAAACCCACCAACCTGAGAGAGACAAGAGCCAGGAGCTGACCTGGAGAGGACAGCCTCTGTTGTGTGCAGGTTAAACTACCACCACAGAGGCTGGGCTGCTGCTGGGGTGAGGAGACGGCCAGCCTCTGCTTCCACACGCCTCTGCCATCACAGGGCTGTTCCCTGAGCCATGATGTCCTCCCACCCTATCTCCTTGTCGAGCTCACTCTTGCAGATCTGGCTCAAGGACCTCTTTCCCTGAGTGGCACCTCTTGACCAGTTCCCTCCTGTCCCTGCTCAGGCTAGGTGTCCTCCTCCCACTGTACTCACCTGGTTATGTAGACCTTCTGGGCATTAGACTGTGAGCCTCAGGTCCTGAATCTGACCCACGGTGAGCACTCTGCTAAAGTCTCTTGCTGACCACTCTCTCCTCCTGGATGGAGGCTTAAGCAAGGTTCAGGGTCTAGATCCAGGTTTAAGTCCTACCTTGATCCCTGCAGAAACTACCCTCAGGACCTCGGGAGTCAGACAACCCGAGTTCTGATTCGAGTTCTGCTCCTGACTTGCTAGCTAACCCTGGACAAGTCAGTTGAGCCTCTGTTTCTGGTCTGTGAAGTAGAAAGACAGAGAAACTTGCCACAACACCCTTTGGAGGGAAAAAACTGGAATTGTAAATGAAAATATTTGTCTTAAAATGGCAATCTTCTATGTGCTGATATTTCTCATGACCACACCATGTCCATTCATGAACCAGGACTTGGAGTTGGTTTCCTTTAGCTCTGCAAGGCCGGCAGCCAGCTGCTGAGCTTCCCCACAAGAAGAAAGGGCACTGAATGTGTGGTCTTTCCATCGCCCTTCCTCCTTCTGGAAACAATATTCCTTTTGGGGGAACAGTGCCCAGTACACTGAAGCTGCCGTCTTCCATGATCCTGCCTCACAGTGATTGGTTCAGGTCTGGGTGATAGATTTGAGGTGAACCAATCAGAGATCTTCCCTGAGACTTTTCAACTAACCAACCCATGAATGACAGTGTTTCCAGTCTCATGGCCACAGAATAAAGCTATTTTATGGAAAGGAACAGGAAGTACTAGTGTGGTTCCAAAACCTTCTCTGGCCCCCATTTTCCCAGTTGTTCAGCTCCTCATTTAGTTCTTTGTTCTACTTTGATATTCCCCAGTGCACTCCCCTTTCTGTTTAAGCTAGTTTGGATTGGGTTTTTAGTACTAGAAGCCCAGAGTAGGTAGGGAAATATTTCTCACTCAACTCTAGATGGTTTTGGGGAAAATTTCCCAAGGGAGCAGGAGAGCCACCATGCAAGGGAAGGCCTCTAGTGCAACTGCTGAGTGTCGTATCCCTCACCCCTCGTCCTGTGTGAAGGATTCAGGGGGCACCCACTGCTTAGCAGAATATCTCAGCTCTATGTCATCACTTACTTATCCTCAACCTTGGACTAGCTCCCTCCTGCTTAACCCAGGATTGAACCCCCTTTGGTCTGGGGCCAAAGTTCACTCCTTCCCCAGGACACCACACTGCTCTGCTGAAGGTATCGGTGCACACTCAGCCCCTGAAACATTCAGGCCTGTACAACGTCATTCTAAGTAATGAAAAGGAAACTGCTCTGGCTTTGGTGCTAGCAAAGGTCCCCAGAACTAAACAAAGCTCCCTCTGAACCTGCAGCCATTAAGGCCTGAGCTTGAAATGTTGGCACTGCCCACTCCCACTTTTCTTTCTTTTAATATTTATTTTTTAGTTGTAGTTGGACACAATACCCCCATTTTATTTATTTATTTTTATGTGGTGCTGAGGATCGAACCCAGGGCCTCGTACATGCCAGGCGAGCACTCTACCACTGAGCCACAACCTAGCCCCCCATTCCCACTTTTCTAAGGGAATCCATCTGTTATCCATGAGTTGGTTACAGCTCTGGGCTGGGTAGGAAGGGCAAGGGAGTTGGGAGAACTGGCTGAGACTTGGAGGAAGAGAAGCCCTGGATCAGGAGGGTGATCACAAAGGAACGGGGGATGTTGGGGTTACTGTGACCAGGCAGATAGCTCTGTCCTTACCACGTGGGTGACCTTGGATGAGGGACATAGGCTTTGTGAGGCCCATCCAGAAATGGGACTAGTCTTCCTCTACATGGGGTTGTCCTGAAAATTAGGCTACTTATATAAATAAAGCACCCGGACCCCAAGAGCCACTTAATACATGAGCCCCTCTTTCCTCTCAGTCCTAACGTGTTGTGTATGTGTGTGTGTGTGTTACTGAAGATTAAGCCTCATGCATGCTTAAGTGCTCTACCATTAAGTTCTACCATTAAGCTACGTCCCCAGACCTTATGAAATTTTATTTTGAAACAGGTTCTCACTAAATTGTTGAGGCTGGCCTTGAACTTGCAATCCTCCTGCTTTAGCCTCCTGGGTAGCTGGGATTATAAAGTGTACACCACCGTGGGGCTCCCAACTCCTTTAATGTCTTTGTTTTTCATGTAGCTGAGACTCCAGGGCACTTTCAGGCCCTCCTAGCCCCTCAAACTCCCCCTTAACTAAAGTTTAGTTTATAAACTTGAACATGGAGAGAAAGTATGCCTCACTTCTTTCCCCACCCTTTCTTCCCCGTCTCTCTCCCCGAATGTTTCTTGTCTGAGACTTCCTAGTGGGCCCTGCAGCCCCCTACCACTGTGGAGGTTGCTGTGGACAGACTGGAGATCCTCCACAGAGGTGCCTGACCATGATCTTGTCCTACTATGACCAACTGGGTCCCCCACCTTCACTCTCTCAGCCTCAAATGCCCAGTCCTATGGGCCTCTCCATTTCCCTCTGCTGGCCCCGAGGCCCAGGCTGCTTCTCTTCCAGGGACTGCCACCTCTTCCCTGGTTTCCTTTCTTTCTTCCTGTGCTAGAGTAGAAGCTGTTTCTTGCTTTTCCCCTCCTAGAGAATAAGGTAATAAGAAAAGTGGGGGACATCAAAGCCCAAGCGGTGAATTGGCTTGGGGGTGCTGGGGGTTGGGGTGAATCTCCCATGCCCCTCTGAGGGCTGCTCAGAGAGGACTGATCGCAGAGTCTCCCTGCCCCCACCCCCACCTACCAACCCCCCTGAGGAGGCAGTGGGAGGACCTTGGCCCCATCCTTCCTTCCCTGCCACAGAGAATGACTTCTCCAGCCCCAGGCACCCTCCCCCCCATGGACTCCTAAATTAGAGCCACATGATTTATGATGAGATCCAAGCCTCCCCCTGCTTTTCTCTTCCCACTTCCCTGCCCGGCAGACCCAGGGACACGTTGTTCCTCACAAAAATAGCTAAAAGGAGTGGGTGGCACGGGGGTCCAGGTGGCCCTTGTAGTGCCCACCAGGGGAGCCCCACCCAGGTATGGGCTCCATCAGAAAGGAGATGGGCCCAGCTCTAGAGACTCAGACTAGTCAGGTTGAGAGTCAACAGAGAGGGCTGGGGATGTGGCTCAAGGAGTAACGCGCTCGCCTGGCATGCACAGGGCGCTGCGTTCGATCCTCAGCACCACATAAAAAAATAAAAATAAATAAAGATGTTGTGTCCACCGAAAAATAAATAAATAAATAAAGAGAGTCAACAGAGAGCTAAGAAGCCAATTGTCCTGCAATTCATTTCACAAATGGGGAAGCTGAGACTCAGACATTAATCCATGGCCTGACACATTTTTGTACAATATTTTTTTAATTTACCAAGCCTATCCACAGCCTTAAATGGGAAATATCTATGATAATTAAACGAGAAAGATTGCACAAAAGCCCAGCACCACTTTGTACCATATTCATTTACTCCTTCAGCACACAGGTATGGACACCTGTTCTGTCCTGGGGACCCTGCTAGGTCCTGAGCACTCAGTGACACGCCAGACAGACCTGGCACTGCCCACCCTGGGGCTCCTATTAGGAAGTTACCAGGATCTGAATCATCTCATTTACCCTCATGACTTTCCAGGGTTCACAGACAAGATGTTACCAGTCTCCCCATTTTATAAGGAAGAAGGTGAGATCAAGGAAGGGACATTACTTGCCCAAGGCCACATAATTTTTTTTTTTCAGAGACCAGACTTACAACTCAGGTATCCATGCCAAGGCAGCTCCAGAAGATCATCAAAGACATCTACAAATGAGTGTTCAACTGTTGCCTGGGGTCAGGTGGGGAAGGGCTGAGGAGTCCCCACTGTGGCTCTGGCCAATTTCCATGGTGTAAATACTTCCACCAGTGCTGATCTCTACTCTAGCTGCTAAACATGGTGTTGGGGAGGAGGTGTCTAGAGAGTTCCTATTTGTGTTTCTAAGTCAGATGGAAACATTTACATATCTGTCTTTGAAAATAAGAAATTAAGCCAACATCCAAAGGATTGAATGATTGTGTGTTTATTTTCTTCCTAAATAAACCTCAGTCTCAGAGAAAAGGAGGCAAGCCTCAGAGACATCATCAGCAACTTCCAGCTATCTACAGGGCTGCTGTGGTCCTAAGAGGAGACAGACCCCCTCAAGAGTTGAGGGGAGCAAAGTACACAGAGCCTGGACATGCATGTGCACCCCCAGGCACACCCACACCCCCTCCATGGACACACATACAAACACACACACACACGCAGGCACATACACACAGATTTTTTTTCTAGTGCTGATGATGAAACCTAGGGCTTTGTACATGCTAGACAAGGGCTCTCCCATGGAGTCACAGCTCCAGCCCCACATAGGTTTATATATATATATATATATATATATATACCAGAAAGACCCTTTGCCAGGCGAGAGTGAGACTTGACAGAGAATGCCCAGTCTTGTGAGGAGGGCAGGTTTTTGTAATTCATGTGTCCAATGAGGCACCAAAGTCCTCCTATGCTACATGGCACCACCTGTGTGACCCACTGCTATGAGAAGGGGGCCTGTGGACTGGGAACCTCTCCATGGAGGACAAGAACATTCTAGGCAGGC